TATGCAGGCCTCTCACCGCTGTGGCCTCTCCCGTCGCGGAGCACAGGCTCCGGACGCGCAGGCCCAGCGGCCATGGCTCACAGGCCCAGCTGCTCCACGGCATGTGGGATCTTCCCGGACCGGGGCACGAACCCGTGTCCCCTCCATCGGCAGGCGGACTCCCAACCACTGTGCCACCAGGGAATCCCAAGATACTTATCCTTTTGACTTCCACCATTTTCAGTCACATCTTTAGAGATCTAGTTCATTATAACTTTTGAAATTATCAAGCAAAATTAAAAGTTAATTAGAAAATATCTTTAAAGCTAAAATAACTAAAATATAGCTAGATATAGCTATATTTTATAGCTAGATAACTAGAATATAGCTGAGACAGATTATCTTCCAAAGAGTCCTGATAAAAGCTGTGATAATGTAAAGTATTATGCTATGCATAATACTATGTAGAGAACTCTAGCAGAATGGGTGCGTTCCTCAATTTGGGGTAAAAAGTTTGAATTCTGTAATCCCATACTCATTGTGATGGCAATGAGATTTTCTTTACAGAACCTTCTGATGGCTCTGTAATCTCACAAGTTTAGAATACCAAGCTATGTAGTAACAATATTTTCCTAAGTTTGAGTTGAGAGGAAAATTACCAGGATTTGAGACCTCCAGAAACATAAAAAATCCTTAATGATGGTGGAGACTTTTTTTTTTCCTCTCTCTTCATCTTCCAGAGGGAGCCCCCTGAGCCTGTAATTCTGAACCCATACACTGATTAAACCCAACTTCACTGGTACAAGTTTTAAATTCTAAGTTTTTAAAACAAAGTTTAAAAGTTTCAAAAACTAGAATAAAGCTTTTGATTGATGTGGCCTAAAAACTCTATCCTGTGATGCTCTTGTAATTTCTTTTTCAAATGTTTGTGGTTATAGAAGGAATGTACTTTAATTCGTGATGAGTCTGTGAGAAATCAGTCTTATATGTGCATTGTTCAAATGTGCAAGGATGTTTTTGGGTTTTCACAATGACTGAAGACCTTATTAGAATTAGTATCTGGAAACGAAAGGTACATCCTATAATGCAGGGGACAGATGTACACCTGAAATCCTGGATAACTGTAGGATTCTTTGTTTTTAAAAATATTACCAGAATATATGCAGCTGTACTGTGTATGTATAACCCTGTTGTACTGTTCCCTTGGCGTATACATGCTATCTTTATATCTCCTCCAGTTTCTAGATGGTCCAGTTGCTATTGCTGCAAAACAAACTACTCCCAAACTTAGTGATACACCAACCCTTTTAGTATAGTTCACATAATCAGTAGATCAGAAATTTGGACAGGGCTTGGCCGAGCAATTCTTTCACTTCTTGTATCTTCGATTGAAGTCATTCCATGGTACCCGACTGTTGGATAGGCTGGTGTGCAGGGCAAAAGATGATGTCCCTGCTCTTCTGGCTTCCTGACAGTGGTGGCTGGAAGGCTGGGCTTAGCTGGTACTATTGTCTAGAGTGCCTACACGTGATGTCTCCTGCATGGTGGTCTCAGTGTTGTCAGAGTTCTTATGTGGTGGTGGGCTTTTCTGAAAGGAGTTGTCCCAGGAGAGCTGGGAGGAAGGTGTATCACCTTTTGTGACTTAGTGTTCAAAACCATACAGTGTCACTTCTAGCACATACTATTGGTTGAAGCAGTCACAAACCCACCAGATTCAAAGCATGGAAATAGATTTCTATCTTTTAGAGGGATAAGCATCAAAAAATTTGTGGCCATTTTTATGAACTACAACTTGAATTTATTCATTTAATATTGAGTGTGTAATACATGCTAAATACCCTGCTGGGCTTAGGGACAGTGAACACAGGAAATAAAACACCCTCATATTAGGTGGGAGAAAGACATGAAAACAGAATGGCACAAATAACTACACAATAAAAGTAAGTGCTGTGAAGAGCTAACCTGGTCTGGGGCTCAAGGAAAGAACTTCCTGTAAAAAGCATGTTTCAGCTGAGATCTGAAGGATGAGCAGAATGTAGCCAAGCTGCAGAGGGGAGGAGCAGACATTCAGGGTGAAGGAAGGTGGCCCGGGAGGGCACAAGGTGTTCAAGCAACAGAGAAATGCTATATGGCTGGACATTGAGAGTAAGGTGGAAGTGACCCATGTCTTGTATCCTTTTTACAGGAGTTTGTAAGTTATCACAGAAGAAATGACAAATGTTTTTATCAGGTAAGTCGAGAGCTGATCAGATCTGAAGTTTTACTGTAACGTTTTTGCTTGCTTTGGGCCCCAAGTGAAGGGAGTTGTCTTACTCATAATCAGTTTATAGTACAGCATCAGTGATGCATGCCAGGCCCTTTTCCTCTTTTTATATCTTTTCCCCTTCATCTTCCTGCTTCTATTTCCCTTCTTCCATCAAAGGCTGCTACTCTAAAGTGATTAACATAAATCCTTGGCAAGGTATGTATCATTCAAAGATATGGTGTAATTTATATATTAGGTGTGCCTTACATTCACATAGAGTATTATGTGCTAGCTCTTGTTTTGTCTCTCTTTTTCACATTCAACATTTTATCCCCAAAGTGTATACTTGAGGTAGTGGTTAAAAGCATGACCTCTCAAAACTAGGATTTCTCCATTTAAATCCTGGTTCTGCCACTTTTTAGCTATGTGATCTTTTTTTTTTTCTTTGCGGTATGCGGGCCTCTCACTGTTGTGGCCTCTCCCGTTGCGGAGCACAGGCTCAGGACGCACAGGCTCAGCAGCCATGGCTCATGGGCCCAGCTGCTCCGCGGCATGTGGGATCTTCCCGGACCGGGGCACGAAACCGCGTCCCCTGCATCGGCAGGCGGACTCTCAACCACTGCGCCACTAGGAAAGCCCTCTCCATACCTCAGTGTCCACATTTAGGAATATGATAATGGAGCATTGGGTTGAATACAGGTGGTGCAGATAAACAAAGGGCATGGCAAACAGTAAGTGATGTTAGCTAGTATTATCAGTCAAAGTTAGCTAGTATTATCATTCCCTAGTAGTTAACTAAATATTTGCTATTTTCATCTAGTTCATTGCTTCTGACCACTGAATAGGATTGTCATATGCCTCCACCCCATTTGGTTTAGGTAGTTCCTTGATGATGGACAACAGACTCCAATTCTGTTATACCATTTCTCCCTTATAAACCTATACAAGAGTTTCTCTGAAGAACACACAAGTAATACTGGCAAGTCGCAGGGTGTGGCCTACCCAGTTCCACTAAATACTGCTGAATTGATCTCTAGGATGGCTATGGTAGTTTATACTCTCACCTAACTGATCAGGGGTACGAAAGCCTGGACATCTTAGGACAGTTCAGGACAATCTTGAATATTCTGTAACTCTCTGGGGGATGGGGGCAGGGGAGACGAGGCTTCCTCGGCCTGCATTGAATCTTCACCTCTTGTTCTGCCCACTCCTGCTTCCTCCTCCCTGCCACAGATGTTGGTCCCTAGGGCACTCCCTAAGAAATATTCTGCAGCTAAACTTTGCGTCCTGCAGAACCCAACCTGAGACTTCATGCTATTTTTCAACTGAATTTTAAAACCTGATTCTATGCAATTATGTTAAATTACTTGAATGCTCAATCTCAAAATGCTACAACATGCCACTGAGAAGACCACCTAATTTTGTCACACCATTGAAACGATTGTTTTTAGGAAAATACATTCTATTCTTTTTGTTCCGCTTCCTCTATTTTTGAAGACCTAGTTTCTCCCTGCAGCTCTATTAAAGGAAGTAAAACATTGAAGGGTAGCAGAATATGCCACCCCAAATTATGCTTCTTTGGCATAAGATTATTTTGAGCTGATTATTTTGAGAAACTGCAGACACAGGAGAAGCTCTAAAACCAGTAGAAGTTACGCTTTTGTAAGAGTAATTTACATTAGAAAGGGGGCCTGTACTAGGAACAGAGTTATTACCAGAGATAAGTCACCTGAGGTGCTTACCTACAAGGCAAGGCAACATTTGTTTGACAAATATTTCATTTCCTCTTTTCACCTTCCCGTGAATTGCCTTCTCTCCCTTTTGAAACGCAGACCTCTATCGCTTTCATTAGGTCAGGATGTTATTATAAGCCTCAATTGTCTGGCTGCCTTTTGAGTCTCACATCTTCGGAATGCTCCTGTGTGTTAAGTACATAATTAAAATAGTGTTTTTCTCCTGTTTATCTGTTATGCCAATTCAGTTCTTAAGTCAGACACAGAACCTAGAAGGGTAGAATGGAAAAGTTTTCCTTCCCAACAATATTAACAGGCTAAAAATGGATTTTCTGACTCTAGCAAGGGTACTATGTTTATCAAAACTGAAATTCCTTGTTTGTAAGGAGTTATCTACAAGTCAGTGAGTTATATTTCTGATACTGATCTAAAAGAAAATATAGATCTTCCTTGACTTACGGTGGGGTTATATCCCAATGAACTCATTGTAAATCAAAAATTTCCCGAGTTGAAAATGCATTTCACACACCTACTAAACATCATAGCTTTGCCTAGTCTACCTTAAAGATGCTGACAGCTAAAAATTTTCACCTGCGCTCTGGTTCTATAAGAATCAAGTCACTAGCCACTGCAGTTGCTGACTTTCGGCACACCCTGAAAGGAGTTCAGGGAGAGGAGGAATGAGGTACTCTGTGCTCTGAGAAAAACTGGCAGAACAGGGCTTTTGACAGTTAAATACTTTCAGCAGGAGATTTTATGAGCCCAAATTCTTGCATCTTCTCATATCTAGAAGAACGCTAGAATCATTAACAGACATCTGCCCCTTGTGACTAGCAGCAAGCTTCTTGTGACTAGCAACATTCTACCAAAATGTGTGCTTGATCGCACGTATCCCCCTTCACTAAAATTATATACTGACCATGCTCCCACCTCTTCTGAGCAGTTCCTCAGAACTATCTGAGGGGCTGTCTCCTGGGCTTTAGTCCTCATTTTGTCCAAATAAAACTTAAACTCATGTTGTGCTTTCTTTTTTTTTTTTTCAGTCAACAGTTTGGCAACTTATGAAGGGACCCAGAGCAGTCTTCTCTCCTTTGCCTGAACTCTATGAGGAACCAGAGTCTGGTACCAGCAGAGGCCTCTTGTGCCCATTCACCTCCCTCAGAGAGTCTAGACGAATTTGGGTGAGTCTCTCTTCCCTGGCTCTCGGCTCTCCCATATTGGTTGATATCCTGAGTTTTATCTGGCAGTATGTAACAGTCCTTGGCCCCTCAGGTGAAAGACACTGTTGAGGGGTATGCCCACCCAGCTGAAAGATACTAGGGAAGGCGCCCACCCCGTTGAAAGACACTGAGCTGTCTGGGCTGAGTGGTTAGGTAGAAGGCTGATCTGACACCTCTCCTGAATTTGGCTGCCTTACTGAGTTTGTTGGGATAAAAGTGAAGATATTACACGAGAGCTTTGCTCTGAAGAAGGAGGATAAGACTGCTTCTGGTTGGTTACGACTTTCTCAGGAAACTGAGAAATTTATGGGAGTGGTGGAGGCAGAATCCTCACACTGTGCAGTGGTCCCACAGGGCAACCTGTCTATTAATTAAAAGACGTGCTCATCCAGGGATCATGTATAAGAATTGGCCATTCAATGATCTGAGTACCAACGGTGGTCTTAGACGACCAAAGGGAGAAACTGAGACACGTAAGAGGGCTGCGATGACTCTAGAGCGGCGTCTAGAGGAGTTAAGCTCACAAGCAGCACACTGGCCCACATACAATCTCATTAGTAGATTTTATCCCCAACAAATTCAACTTTAAGATGGGAAATAGAGCTCTCAAACAGAAACAAGGGGTGTCAGAAAGCCAACCTCTGACCAACGCCCCAGCCAAGTTTATAAACAAAACTTACTCTTACAAGCACTTACCTAATTGGGCATTAAAGGAGAATCTTGCCCAGAAAATGGCCAAAGTGGACTCTATAGCAGACACAGTTGTTAGAGAAAGCTGGCATGATAAGACACCTTTCCAGAATTCTGACCCTGAGGGAACAAGTCTTTCTAGGAAAACTTGCTTTTCTCTCCCAGTGCCTTGAGATGTAAATGTTCTACCAGGGTTCTCAGGAATACTTACCTAGACTACTGTAATTCCTGAGACTGAGGGAAACAACGGGGTGGGGGAGATGAGGCCTTTTCAAATTTAACTTATTCCAAATGTTATTTATAAACGAATGAGTTTTATATTGTAATGCCTAATTCATGACTAAATTTTAAAGTGAAGTTGAGACCTCTGCTTGTGTCTTTCCATATGTCTGTGTGCATTATAAATATGTCTTTACCTTTGGATGGTATTATCAAAATTAATTTGGAAATGAGCTCTACTTAATTGGCTTAAAGGAAATTAAGTGCTTATATGAATTCTCAGAAATATAAAAGGAAACTGCCAGAATGAATTTCAGGTTCACACGAACTGGGAAATATTCATTGTTAATACCTGGTATTAAAGTTTGTCAATTTAATTAGTATAGACATGTCTTTAGAATCATCAATATTAAGTATAATACTTTTACTGTATCTAGGTTTAATAGAAGTCAAATAAGATCTTATGTGTGTTGCAGATTTGTCAGCAAGAAAAAACTTGGTATGATTTTTATTAAAAAAATGTAAATGAAGTAAGAGCTTTTGGGTAAATGTCTTAGGAGTAATTATGTTTTAGGAATGTCTACTTAAAAATAATCTCTCCAGATATTTGGTAACTTGAAATTTTAGAGTTGTGCTAATTTAAATGAGGAAAGTTTATTGAATAGCTAGGTCATTCCCAAATAAAATGAGGTACTGAAACACTAATTACTAAACATTGGCTTGTATTTACAGGGAAACTAAAGATATTTAAGACTATTGATAAATATGTTTGGTACCACATGAGATTTTCTATAAGAAAGCACATATTTTTAGAAATTATAATTGGTATTTATGTTTGCCAATCTATAGAATACTAACATAAAAGACAGTTCATATTTGCTTGATCCTTAGTTTTCACTAGAAATTAAGGTTTTGAAGAGTTGAGTATTCTAGTTTAAATATGTAATTAAAGCTACCAGAAATAATTAGAGAAATATTTCAGTATACAGTAGCAAAGTAGGATGTGGGTTTTCAGTAAAAGAAGGTATGAAGAATAGAATTGCATTTTGTTAAGGGAAAAGAAAGTAATTTTGTCCTAGAGATGGTTGTTTCTGCATGGGAACAAATAAGAGACAAACTAATACTGATACAGAAAGTTATGGAAAGTTCGTGGAAAGGGACCCCGAGAAAAGAGTTTTGTGCAACGTCGGGATTGGCTAAGTTTAGAATAAATTTAATTAAGTAAATGAATTGTTATTAAAAGTAGGCTGATGCAAGACTAGAGTTCAGTTTTCTTTCTGTTAAGAAAACAAAGTTGTGTTTTGACCATTGAGCTGCTTTTATAACAGAACTTAAGTTTCTTTACCTTTTAGAGTTTATCTTTTAAGTGATCTGTTCTGTATTTTCCTTTGAAATCTTTTGTCACATTGCTTAAGTGAATATGTATTGTTTCACAGTGATCTATGGTCCTATTTGACCAAATGTTTTAAAACCTTTCTGACATTTTTTGACAAACTTCCCAAATCAAATTCCAGTGAAGTTCCTTTGACCTCTAACTAACTTTTGGGATATTCCAAAAGGGTCCCTGAAACCTCCCAAAGACAGATATTAAACTAATTAGGTTCATTTGGTACATTAATTACATGAGAAGCATTGTCAAATGAGTAATAAATCTTCTTAGGTTATATTGTATGGGTAAATGTTATTAATATAGATATTCTAGAAATTATATGGAATTCCTAAAAATCAGTAGGCCTTGGTAAAGTATTATCAGTCATAATTCTAGTTATCTTAAAATGTTTTATGTCATAGCAGTAACCAAGTTTCTTTGTCAACTGCATGGTAATTAGGTCTTTAACCGTGCCTTAAGTCTTGTCATTCATAGACAGTTATTGTTTTACTCTGATGCCCTTGCAAAAATGCTTCCTCTTCAAGAATATTCATAGCAAGAATATGCACTTTTTGACAAGTGCAGGCTTCTGATAACTTTCAGATTATACTGCTGATGGGTAAGAAATTAAAGAATTCTAATGGAAAATCTCTTGGCTTCATAAACTTAACAATGATTAGTTACATGAGACAGTGAACTGGTGAATATGGTTATAATTTTTTATGGCTTCTGTCTGAAATATTATTGGCTTTTAATCTTTATTTTTCCAGCTATAAGGAACCCTTCCCCTTAAGCTAATTATGACTTACATCAATTTAGTAAATTATGCCTTTGTAAGCAGAATTGAAACATATATCCTTTCTCTCTACCTGATCCCTCCAGAGATTGGAAACTCGTGGATTACCAGCACGTTTATCAGGTAAATTAGGAAGGCCACCTCCTAACAGGTGCAGGAATCTCAAGATATTTTGAGGACCTTGAAAAGGGAGAAATTCACTCAAAAATTTCCAAGGCAAAATCAGTGACAAGCCCTTGGCATAGCTTTCCTACCCTTGAAAGGCCTTTTAAAAATTTGAGATTGCTTAAAAAGTTCCAGCAAAGCCAACTTTAAAAGAACCTATATGATCAATTACACTTGTATAGATCATCAGGCCAAGTTTATTGAAACCAGACTTATTTTGCAAACAAATTAGTCTTATTTTGGCTATATTTGGTAGAAATGAGGGTAATTTTAGAAAAAGATCGTTTCAGTGGACATTAAATTATAGTTTTGTTAGTTGAGGTCTGTATTTACTAAGACTCACTTCCCTGTAGCTCCTTGCTGTTACATTATTGTAAAGTTTAATTGAATTATTTTGAGGACACTCTAAGTTTGCTTCTGAAGTTTACCTCAGTAATCTATCTTTGGATGAAGATAAGATGCCCCTGGCGCGCACACGGCCCCGGCGGGGAGGCGAAGCGGGTGGCGGCTGCGGAACCGGCAAAGGCTGCCTGTTTCATAACCATCACTCCTTGCTGACTCGCGGGCTGCGAGGCCTGGGTTGGGTCGGGCTGCGAGGCCAGGGTCAGGTCGGGCTGCGAGGCCAGGGTTGGGTCGGGCTGCGCCGCGGGGGCCGCTTGGAGTGGAGGCCGCTTGGGGGCTGGCGGGCTGGAGGACTGTTGAACACGGGTTGGAGGAACGTGCAGCAACCATGAGTTGAACAGAACAGAGGAGGGCAAAAAATAAAGTGCTTCGTTAGCATGCTTGGAGGGAACACAGTAAGGAAAATTGTCAGCAGAGGTGTCTAGATGGAGAGGATGGAAATGCATGTTTGAGGGGAAGGAGAATCTGTTCTTCCAACGCAGATGGGCAGTACCCTCAGGGGTTCAGGTACATGTGCTGATTTTTTGGCAGTTTAGTGTGGAAACCATTGATCACCTTGTCCTCATTTCTACTAGTTCTGTGTTGTCGAGGGAGCGTGCCCAAATGAGCAAGGTATCGCAGCAGAACAGTACCCCGGGCGTGAATGGAATAAGTGTCATTCATACTCAGGCTCATGCCAGCGGTTTACAGCAGGTTCCTCAGCTGGGGCCCGCTGGCCCTGGGGGCGGAGGCAGAGCTGTGCCTCCAAGCAAGCAGAGCAAAAAGAGTTTGCCCGTGGATCGCAACCGTGACGTCAGCGCAGAGAGAGGAACAGCATGGCGGTGAAAAAGAGCCTGTTGAAAAGCCAGCTGAAAGCGCAGGATACGCTGCAGAGAGTGAATCAGCTCAAGGAAGAGAATGAACGGTTGGAAGCAAAAAGTAAATTGCTAAGGAATTAAGTGTACTGAAAGATTTATTTCTTGAGCATGCACAAAACCTCGCAGATAACGTGCAACCCAGTAGCACTGAAAATATGACAAAGTCTGATAATGCAGGACAGTAGACCTCACCCCTTCCAAACGTCACAGCTTGTGGCTTGAACGTTAAAGGTGTGACCACCTACACCACTCGTATCAGTGGCTGAATCTCCATTATTCAAAGATCCACTGAAGGCTGTTTTCTAGGATCAGTACTGAAGAATTGATTAGCTAAAAATGTTAGCCATGTAATTTGAATATCTGGTTTTAAATGATAAGGATTTTTGTGGAGATAAAAAAACATTTTTAAAGGTATTTGATAAAAAAAAAAATACCCTGGAGCTTGATGCTTTTAATAAATCCTGACTTCCCAAGGGAAAAAAAAAAAGATGCCCTCATGACTGCAACCAGGAGATTATGCATACTGGAAAAGACATCATTTAAAGGACTATCTCCAACCTAAATGGAAGGACCCTTACCAGGTACTTTTAACCAGCTCATGCACAGTACAACTAAGGAAGTTGACCCCTTGCATTGGACTGGCCTATGGAGAGGACTGCTGACCTCAAAATCATCTTAAAAGTGATGCTTAAACAGGGGAGAAACTACAAGACCAGGATGAGAAGAAGACTATATCTGAAGTAGACAGCTTACCTAAGATGATGGATCAGGCCTGTATACCAATTACTTTGATAATTGCTCACACTTTTGCTTACAAACCAAATGTATTTCTTTCCTGGGACTCCCTCACTTGGCCAATCAATCAGACTTGCTCTAACTATCACCAAAAATATAAATTTTCTTTTAAAGGTACTCAAATTCAATCAGAGCAACGAGCAAATTTTCAGCTAAAGAATGTAACTTCCCTCAGTTGTGCGCTGGATTTATATGGCTAACATCAGGCTATGATTTTAAAGACCACCTCCTCCCCCCCCGCCTTATGTTGGGAACAATTAAACCATACTAAGGATTTCCAGCTTAATAACGCTAGGAAATTGGGCTGGGTGCCTTATGAATAAGCCTATGTATCACTTCCCTTAAAGATACGAACTGGTACAGAACAGACTAAGTCAAATGACCTGAGAATATTACTGGGTCGCACCTAATGGAAGTTCTTGGCTTAAATTCTTACTTATGACCTTACTAATACTACTAGCTAGATTATTTGTATTGCTTATTTTACAAGATTGTTGTTTCTTACATTACCAAATGTGTGAATGAACCTCTGATAAAATGATGACTAAGTGACTTGAAGTTGACCAGACATATAGTTCTGTATAAGATCAATGATTGTAATAGTAACTCTCAATATGGGAAGAAGCACCAAGAGGGAATCATTTCTAGGACCATAAGGGACTAGTAAGACAGGTGGTCCAGGGGCTTTTGGCTACAGTTAATAGGGCCTAGTCCAGTAATAGCACATTGAGTGGTATCAATGAAATCCTTGCCTAGGAATGAACATTCCATGCACTGTGGGACAAAATGGTCATGAAATGCCTCCCAAGCCATCGTCAAATGTATGACCATGAGGGGCACTGCCAACTGAAAATTGTCCCTCGCTATCTGGTTCTATAAGAATGAAGTCACTAGACACTGCAGTTGCTGACCTTCGGCACACCCTGAAAGGAGTTCAGGGTGGAGATCAGGAATGAGGCACTCTGCTCTGGGAAAAACTGGCAGAACAGGCCCTCAGATAGTTAGATATCTTCAGGAGAAGATTTTATGAGCCCAAGTTCTTGCATCTTCTCATATCTAGAAAAACACATCGTTAACAGACATCTGTTCCTCATGACTAGCAGCAAGCTTCTTGTGACTAGCAGCAAGATTCTGCCAAAACGTGTGCTAGATTGAACGTGTCTCTCTTCACTAAAATCACATGTATGCTGACCTCCCCCGCTACCTCTTCTGAGCAGTCTGTCAGAGCTATCTGAGAGGCTATCTCCCAGGCTATAGTCCTCATTTTGTCCCATATAAAACTTAACTCACGACCCTCATGCTGTGCATTTTTTTTCAGTTGACAGCACTCAGACACTTATATTAGCCTAAAGTTGGGCAAAATCATCTAAGACAAAACCTATTTTATAATATGT